GATAGGAAGGAAGGAAGGAAGGAAGGAAGGAAGGAAGGAAGGAAGGAAAGTGAAAGGAAGGGATGTAGCAGGCCACACTAAATTTGATCACTAGGTGCCATGCCTTCAGAAGCAATTAAAATACATTGCTTTAAAGTGATTTTGTTGTGGAAATCAGTAGGAAGAATAAGAATCATGGGACACCAGAGAACCTTTGCAAAATTTCAAGTGATCATTTTTTACGTGCTCTGAAGTCTCTTCTGAATTATGGCAGCCCTATTAAATAGCGACCTGCAAAAGATCTTGTCATCAACAGTTTTATTCAGGACTTGTATACTCAAGGCTGTGGCTTCCTTTATGGAGTCAATCCACCTCGTTTTGGTCTTCCTCGTTTCCTGCTGCTTCCTGCAGCTTTTACCAGCGTCACTGTTTTATCCAGCAAGTCTTGTTTTCTCATGAAGAATCCAAAGTACAATAGCCTCAGTTTGGTTGTTTTAGCTTCCAGTGAGAATTCAGTCTTGATTTGATCTAGCATCCATTATTTGTCTTTCTGGGGCCCATGGTATCTGTAAATCTCTTCTCCAACAACACATTTTAAATTAATGCATTTTTTTTTACCTGCCAGCTTTGTTCATGTTATCCATGTTTCACATTTGGGAATAAAGCGGCAATGGAGATCTTAGCCCTGATCTACAGTGACATGTCCTTACACTTGAAGATCTTTTCTTGTTCCTTCATGGCATTCCATCTAAATCTCAGTTGGTATCTGTAAATCTCTTCTCCAACAACACATTTTAAATTAATGCATTTTTTTTTACCTGCCAGCTTTGTTCATGTTATCCATGTTTCACATTTGGGAATAAAGCGGCAATGGAGATCTTAGCCCTGATCTACAGTGACATGTCCTTACACTTGAAGATCTTTTCTTGTTCCTTCATGGCATTCCATCTAAATCTCAGTTTCCTTCTGATTTCTTTGCTGCAGTCTTCATTTGGATTGATGACTGAACAAAAGTATAGAACTATTAATTTTATTCTTCATTGCCAATATTAAAGTTTTTGTCTTCTTAATATTCAGCTATAATCACTTTCATCTTTCACCTTCCTCACTAGTTGTTTTCACGCTACGGTTTTTTTCTTCTAGTAGTACGGTGTTATCCGCATATTTTTGTATTATTACTTTTTCCACCAGTTTTCATTCCTCCAGCTTAACCTCACTGAACTTTCTATTTTATACATTCTGCATAGGAAGTGAGCACACACAGGGAGGAAACCATGCATTCTTGGCTAACACCTCTGCTAATGAGAAACCATTGTTTCACCATATTCCAACCTAACAGTACCCTCATTTTTCAGATGATAGGTTGTGCATCAAGACAATCAAATATTATGTCTCTCCTTTGGATAGATTCATTTCCTATAGAATGAGCCATGGTTTTTCATGACCCACACTGCCAAAGTCTTTACTCCAAGCTATAAAGCACAGGTTCTCTTTCAAAATTTTTGGTACACTCTAGTTTATGGTGATGTGCTCTCATGTCAGAACTGACTTACACTGACCCTAATAGGTAAGTGAGTTATTTAAAGAGTGGTTTCACCAGTTCCAGATTTCCAATGAGCTTCCATGTCTGAGTGAGAATTCATGCCCAGGTCTCTTGAGTCCTAGTCTGTCACTCTGTCTACTACATCATACTGAGTACACCATATAAGTGAGAATTCATGCCCAGGTCTCTTGAGCCCTAGTCTGTCACTCTGTCTACTACATCACACTGAGTACACCATATATTCCAGTAAGCCAACAAATATTTGCAGTATGATCTGTAGTGTCCTGTTCTGAATCCTACTTGAGCATCTAGCACTTCTTGCTCTCTATGCAGTAACAGTCTTTGTTTTAAAATCTTTTAGCATCCTGTTATTTACATTATTAAATACACATACACATACACACCTGGCATCACCTGGCAGGACAAAGTTCCAAATAGAGTAGTCCTAGAACGAGCTGGAATTTTCAGCATGAATACATTACTGAAACAGCAACGTCTATGTTGGCTTGGGCACGTCGTGAGAATGGCTGATGGTCGGATTCCAAAAGATCTCCTGTATGGAGAATTAGTGCAGGGAAATTGCCCCAGAGGGAGACCACAGCTGCAATACAAGGATATCTGCAAGCGGGATCTGAAGGCCTTAGGGATGGACCTCAACAGATGGGAAACCTTGACATCTGAGCATTCAGCCTGGAAGCAGGCGGGTATCATGGTCTCTCCCAATTTGAAGAGATTCTTGTCCAGCAGGCCGAGGCAAAGAGGCAGTCCCCAAACTAGCCAATCAGGGAGCTGGACAGGGGACAGATTGTATTTGTCTTCAGTGTGGAAGGGATGGTCACTCTCTAATTGGCCTTCTCAGCCACAATAGATGCTGTTCCAAGTCCTCCACACAGAGCACATTACCATAGTCTCTTGAGACTGACGGATGCCTAATCTAATCTCACACAGAGCAGACAACATTTTTCATTGAAATACAATTTTCCATTAACTCTTTTAATTTATGTGTTTTCCTCCCTCACAGACTAACTGCTTAAAGGTTCAGAATTACTTGATGAACACCTTAGGCCCTTACATTGTCAATGTGACCACGGCAACCAAACTGTGCAGCCAAACAATCTGCAATAACCATGGCCGCTGCATCCGCCGAAGGATGGACTCCGACACCTATTTACACCTGAGCACTGACTCTTTCCAGATCCAAACCAACACCTACGGCAACCAAACCCAAGTTTCAGTAAGAGGGGCCTTGAGCCCTCGGCAGAAGGAGGAGATGAGAAAGGAGTTTGCGTGTCACTGCTATCAGGGGTGGAATGGAGAACGCTGCCATTTGTGGGGTCAGGCCTTGAAGCTGGAGACTCAGGGCTGGTTCATGCCTGGGATCATTCTTCCTGTGCTGTGGGCAGGGTATTTATGAGCCATTTGGGAGCAGTTAGGGTACATTTGAATTTTTGTGAAGCCAGTGGTGTGAAGTGAATCCCACATCCCTCTACGTGGTGGAGAGAAGGGAAAAATCAATACAAGTGTGGTGTTTGGTGACAAGACGTATTGTTCAATGTCCTGTGAGTCCCACAGGCTTTATGGGATGTTATCCTCTTGCCGTGTTTCACTGGAAAAGTTAGCACACGTGGATTTTCCCCAGCAGCACTCCTAACCTATGCAGGATTCTATTCTTCCAATACACAAAGGATTTCCTTTTAAGTTTTGTTACTCTCTCTTCACCAGCACAGAGGCAGCTTTAATATTCAGTGGTGCACATTTTCCTAAGATGTGACAAGAACAATTTTCTAATTTTTTAAAAAGCAACATTTATTCAGCCAGGACCTGGTATTTATGACAGTTGAATAACAATGCAATCCGCTTTTACATCACTGTAACTATTTAAACAGATTATTTATATGCAAAGCAAACATTCCCTACTTGAACCAGTTGTATGTCCTCTGAATGTGACTGGTGCTGTATGGTTGTAGTATGTGTGTGTACGTATGTGTGCATGCGCGTGCGTGCACACATGCACGTCAAGCTACCTCTCTTTTATCAAGAGGAGGGGAGATATAAATTTTTAATTAAATATTTTTCATGTGATACACATTGACCTAGTGCTTTGTTCCTCTAAAACAAGCAACCTTGCAATTAACTTCTCTCTGTGTTATGGGCCATCAAGTTGGGGCCAACTTGTAGTGAACGTAATAGGGCTTTCAAGGTAAGTGAAACATTTAGGGAGTGGGTTTTTTACAAGTCCCCTCCATCGAGTTTCCATGATTCAGCAGGAATTCAGACCCAGATCTCCTGTCCTAGCTCATCACTCTGTCTGCTCCAGCACACTGGGTAATCCCCTACTCCTCTCTATGCCTTTTCAAATAAGCAGAAGGTTTTCAGGTTCCAAGGCAAGGAGCAATACAGATCAGTTCCTGTCCTTGGCTCCCCACCCCCCCAATGTATAGCTGAAAACAAATCTGAGGCCTCGTCCCTACATCTTCCTCCAAACTGGCCTCCAGTTACAGCAGGAAGTTAAGCCATACATAGGGTTGCATTCCCTGCTGCCCCATTTTCCTGGGGCCACGAAGAGACATCATCAGTAAACACTTTGTTCTGACTTTAAAGGAATATAAGCTATGGATAACACCTGGAAAGTGTGCTGCAAGCTGTAAGTTCCCCTTCTCCAAGTAAAACGACCTGTTCCTTCCCCCACCCCCAAGCCCATACTTCTTCCCTAGGCTGGTTGTTCCTCCCCTTGCCCCCAACCTGCTGTGTAGCACACCAGGAGATATGCTTGACACAGGCAGAGGACGGGATGGCATGAGAGGGGGAGGGATTGATGTAAGTTTCCTCCGTTTCCTGCTTCACTGGGGGACTTTGAGCTGCCTACACTGGACAAAATTATTAATCTAAGTTTTTAAAATCTAATTTATTAATCTAATTAGCAATCTAATTTCTTGATCAAGCAGTTAGTTATTCTTCAAAAGGCCATAGGCAGGATCATATTATCACTGATGTATAAACGTTTCACCTCCAGGAGTTCTGATCACTATTCCATTTTTCTGGAATAAGTAGAATCTGTATCGTACAGTGGGAGGATGGTTCCAGTTTTGAGAAAACTCAAGACAACACAGATAAAACCTGGGGCTTAGGTGCTGTTCTCAATATTTTCCTATGAGAGCGATTCTTAAGTCAAAATGTTCTTAACTCAAGCCGTTCTTAAGTCAAGACCCCACTGTAAGTAGAATCTGTGGGAGGATGGTTGCAGTTTTGAGAAAACTCAAGACAACACGGATAAAACCTGGAGTTTAGGTGCTGTTCTTGCAAGATCTGGGATGTGATTAGCCTACCTAGAAGAATGAAGTAATGAGTTCTCTTGATTGGGAGGGTGCTGGGATGAGTTATCGAGATCAGCAGGCAAACGTTTTGTACACCCTTCTCCTGAAGGACAATCCTAAGGTTTCTGAGTTCAAGGATAGCGGCCCGTGTATTCCAAGAAGCCGATCTAAGTTGCTGAGTGTATGTTTTGGTGTGAAAGTAGGCTCTCTCTTAGACAAAATATTTGACATTGAGGCCCCAACAGCATTTTAGCATGCAAAGAACAAGAAGGCACCCAATTACATGTTCAAAACTGGTAAGACTAGGAGTTCAGGAATCTAAATTCAGAACTGGTAACTGGGCAGTCTCCTCTAATATACCAAAGGAGACTATGGCAGCTCAGAGTGGGTGGGTTAGAAAACAGGTTATGTGACACACACATTCTATCCATTTCCTGTCTCTTGGCATTTCTTGCTTAAAGAGGTTGCCTGACTGCCCAATGGTAGAGCTGGCCTTGCCCCATGACCATTCTACAGAATAGTGTTTATCTTTGAACATCAGTGATGGCATGGTGTCCAGAGAGTAGCATGGGAGCATGCAGCAGGCAGTGTGGCCTAGACAGCATTGCCCTGGAAGGGAAATGACTGGGTATATGCATGTGTGGTCAGGAGGAATGAGATATAGAAAGGAGTGCTGCTGCCTCCAATCTTCCACACACCTCAGCATCTGCCTCCCAGGGTGCTTACCTTGCTATGTCAAAAGCAGAGCTGACCCAGGTAGCCAACAGTCAGATGACTGGTTACACACAGACACCCCCCCCCCAAAGACCAAGCTATGAATATCTCAACTTCCTGATCCCTTCCTTCGTAGAGAATCAGGCTGTTGAAGCCTAGGCTGAAATAAAATTTAAAAAAAAAGGAGAAAAAAAAGAAAAAGAAACAAAAAAAGGGGGGGGGAAGTCTGCTATTTTTGCTTACAAATGTTTAACATCACCCCAATCCTCAACACTCAAGTCCTCCCTGAAGGCAGTTTGTTCTTGCCTGTTGTGTTCATTCCACTTGTAGCGAGGGCTTAGAACAATTGCTCTAAGGCCACCGAGAAGCCAGGAGAACCAGCTAGGATTGCCATGTTTTTCCTGACAGAAGAACGTTACTGGCTATACTGACAGGCAGACATTTAGCAGCTGCAGTATTCTTCTGTCACTGACACATGCATTCTGGGGTAAAATCTCACCTGTTTAATAACTGCCTGTCACACAGCTGTTATGGGCCTGCCTGGAATGGAAAGTTTAGCAATCCTCCGTGCAGCCAGAGGCTTCAACAAAACAAGCACAGAAGTGCCAGTTTGTTGCATTGGCTTGACTGCAATGCAAGCCAGGACTCGCCGGTTCCCTTGCATGGGTGATTCTCTTTCATTGGCTCTAGACCTCCCACAGAGTTGTCAAAAGTTAATGATTACTCACTTCTGGTAGGTTCAGAGCAATTAGGTTGATCTTACATACACTATGCTGCCTACGTAATTCCCCCCCCCTTTTTATGGGTGATTGCATTCCTTCTTTTGCTCTGACGCACCCCTCAAATACTCCTCGGATGAAGAACTGCATTTCCATTTACAAGCCAGTTATTGGAAATAATAATGTAGAAAGCTGGCTGGATTACTACTGTGACCTGGGCTCTGACCACAAATGTCAACACAGATCAATTTAGAGGTTACATATCCTTTGCGCACACACTGGCATGTGTAGTTGCAACTGAAATGATGTAGGATGGAGAGAACGGCACCTCCAAATGTTTAAAGATGTGCAATAGATATGTAACTGGACGTTAGAAGAGGTCAGAACTCCCTGGCTTTCACTCAGGACCACCAGGCACTTCTAACTGGTTGACACTACAAGCTTGTCATCTCACAAGTGTTCACTGCAGGAAATTATCAGTTTGATTGCCTCAAAGGAGCTCTGAGGTGTTATCAATTTATATACAACTTATGTTAATGTATTACAAATATCTTATACTGTATTCTCAATTACTACAAACGTGTGATAAAATACAATTTAATTAAAATATTTTATTTCACTTTTCTCCTTAAAATAAAAGCAACAGGAACAAACAGCAGCAGAAGACAGACCACTTGATTAATTCCTCAATGCAACAAGCATGACTGAAGATTAAAATGAGAATTGAAACATTCACGTGTGGGCACTAAATGCCTTCATTTTTATATAGGAAGGACAGTAGACATATTGGTTCCATTACGATTTACAAAGGGAGATAGTACTCAGCATCTCCACTAAAAATCAAGTACCTATACTGTATGTCATAGTTTGCAAGATGTACACTTGATTACACAGGGGAATAAATGAGTATCTCAGAAAAGTAGTGGCATGGGCGGAATCCTCCTGAAGACACATTGTAGAAATATTTGGTCAATGTTAGACAATTGTTGTGAGACTGTGTGATAGTTTCACTGTGCCTACAATCTTGCCACTCACACTGCACTCTTTATGCCTTTAATCTGGCAGTTCTGTAATGGTGTGGGCTCAATAGCACACGCCAATGTCTGGCTCTGGATGTCTCCCCATTCCCTTCAATGTACTACTACATTCCATTTGTTTCTCCACAATGCGCCTATGGAAGCAGGCTGTGAACTACACATCTTCAAAGAATCACAGAACTGGAATCTCAGGAGGGACCCTAAGGGTCTTTGAGCTCAACGGTGGGATACATTTCTCGGAACTGTAGTCCCAAAAAGCAGCTCCCTCTTAAGTTACACATTTACCATAGTCATGAAATATACAGAAGTTATTCACTACTCAATCTTTGAAGATTTCTCAGAGAAAGATAAGAGTCATCAAAGCTTCAGGTTTCATGTCATTAAGCAAAGTATATTTGAAGCAGAGTATCCTTTTTCACTGGGACATTCTTCCTCTCCAGGCTCCTGAAATATAGCTTTTAAAAAGCCCTTCCCTCAAAGATCTATCAGTATCCACCAACCAAACTGTTTTTGGCTTCAAGCATGCATAACAATGACCAATTTCAGCAGCATCTGTGTGGTTGTCTGGGTAGTTGTGGAACAACCAAGAAATGGAGCCTGAGTTCTCTGTTTACCTTATTTCACCATATTGTGCTGGGAGCAACAGCGCAGGCAACATCCCTGAATACAGAAGTCAATTGGTAAGCTGAGCAGGGAAGAGATTTGGGAGATGAGCTGTAGAAACAAATGGAGCAAAAGCTGCTTCTACTGCTCAGGAGGTGGCATCCGGCCTTAAAACGCCCACTGGGGTTTTCCCCCTCTGAAACTTTAGCATCCTTCTTCAGGCTTTGCCACTTACCCATAGTGGTCGTATCAGTGGCTCGTCTGTAAAACTTAATTCAGATGGCCGAAGCGTGAAGGAAACACATTTTCAAGCTGGCACATGGAATGTAATTATCTCTGAATCACAACCTAGTGGGCAATCAATAACATAAGAGTGCATGTTACCCAGACCCAGGGCAAAGTCTTATAAGGCTTGTGGGTCTTCATAAATGTAGGCTGCTAGTACTACTTACTGCAATGTTAGCTATCCCAAAGTGAGATATTTCAAAAACATTTTTTTCCTGCAGATATTCAGCTCTTCTGAATATATGAATCTCCGCAGAAAAGGCCGGCAATTGTGGTAGTGCCTGAGCACCTTTCTCTGTCAATGGTCTCTCCAGGGTTTGTACAACTGCTTTTTAAAAGTAATCAATTGTTTTAACACATTACATGGCCTCCAAGTGTTATTGTTATGCATGAGGAAGTGAGGGTTTTGTTTATATATTTTGTATGCTCTACTTTTCTGTTAACTTTTTAGTCCTTTCTTTTAAATCCATTTTTTAAAAAGAGGAAAAAAATAACAAGCAAATGTTACTCATTACATGTAAAATGTAATTACATGACCAGTCATTATCTTGTTTGCAAACATTATGCTGTTACTGCCCAAAAGCAACATGTCATGCACAGCATCACCTCCAGTGACTCACTTCTGGTGTCTGAGGAGCCACTTCAACCAAGGCATCATCTGCGAGTTTTAAGCTCCTAGAGAATAGCTCCATAATCAAAGTGAGCTTCCTCCTGAACACTAAAACCCACTGGCTTGGTTTGGCTACTACATGGTTCAACTTCAAGGGCATTTGAACAACTAAGGATATATTGATCCTGAATAGCTGCATTAATACCAACTCAAGGTGGCTTCCACAAAGTGAAGAAGGATGAATGTTTTTTGCACACTGAAGACAAAGGAGAAATGCTTCCATTATGATGATCTAATTTAAAAGACACTTGGGAATGAATTTAAGTATAATCAAACACTGCTGATACTCTACTGCCAGGCTGGTGTCATCTGAAAGAGCTTGTACTAAAATCTGTATATGAATGACCTGTTAAATGTCAGACATACATCTGATATGCCCCCCCCCAAAAAAACCTAGAAGCCACTTATAAAGTCACCATGCAGCAATGGTAGTGGCAACTATGAAGAAATATTCTCCAAAGCATCTGGTCATTTGAGAAAGTAAATCCTGCCATGTCTCAGCAAAATTTCTCCATTAGTCACTCAGATGAAGTACTGTAAACTGAACCAAAGAATCTAAAACTGAGTCCTACAAATGATTTGCTGTCTGGGCAGTTCAGTGTGTTGGAGCACCTCGCTGCTGGGTTCAAGAGTGAGTCTCTTCTGTACCCCCCCCCCAGAAGAAGAGGCAAACCCCTGCAGCCTTGAACAAGTGGCATGGTCCTAGAGTACTAACCACAGCCAAGTACTTTATTATCTAGAAAACCTTGGCAAGGGCTGCCATAAGCTGGAATCAACTTAACGCTACATAGTTATTACTGTAGGTGACTGGCTCTCTAAGAGGTTGCATTCTTTACACAGTGAATTTTTAAGTGGTTAGTACAGAGTAAACCGCTCTCTCAGTCAGCTAAAGAAAGATGCAAATCACAATGCTTTAAAAATATTTTATTTTTATTTTATTTAGAAAATACAGCATTCAATACAGTATGCCCTGCCTCCCCCATAATCTCCAAACCCACATCATCACCCAGCCCAATCAGGAATGTGCATCTCCCAGTTTCTTCAAACCTGGTACTCACATAAGAGTTGGGGCATTATTAGTGTGGATCAGGTAGTGGTAGCTTCTGGCTTGCTTTTTGCTGTGGCAAGTTAAACTGAGTGACAGAGTGAAGAACCCGTCATTTTCATCAGGTAGTCAATTAGCCCTGCCATCCTAACTTAACTTCAGAATCTGCAACTGCTTGAATTTTGTTGATCTCAATGCTATAAACATACAACTTTTGTAAGTGGGTCTTAAGCTCCAACTTGAGGCTTCTATGGAAAGCATTTAGATCAACATACAAGTGCAATGGATGCTTCAACAATTGCTCTGATGCTCAGCTATTTCTGATACTAATCTGACTTAATGTGCCAATTTTAGGACAATGAAAAAGGGCCAGAAACCCAAGCTCTGGCTGGTGGCTTGGCTCCTAGACAGAGAAAACATGATGCAAGCTTGCTAGACAGTAGCCAGTCCAGATCTAAAAAAAAAAATTAGTTTTGGGAGGGGGGAACTCTTTCTGCTGGCCAAGATGCATGGAGACAGTTTGATACATAGGATCTCTCACATGCTCTTAAGAATCATTCCTTTCTTGTCTTGAGGCACACTGCTAGCCTTTAGCACACGGGATGCTGGTGACCCCAGAGCAGTTTAAAGGAAGGGAAAGTAAGCTTTCTATTGTACATTCTGAATGGGAACTGGGGAAGAATGGAGGGTGGGGGAGGGCAATAGATATTTACAGAACTGTCAGATCTTTGTGATCTTCAGCCTGCAGGGTTGATCTTAAAGGTCTTCCAGTCATCTGTGCAATCTAGCTAATCTGCCTTGAAAAGGAGATTCATGAAATACAATCACCAAGGGTAATCTGCATAGTAGGGCAGCCAAAGACATGGATATGGGCAGGGAAAAGTGGTGGTGGTGGTGATGGTGAAGCAGAAACAGCAGCGCTATAATCTCTTGGAAAGACAGAAATGTGGCCCTGAAAGAGGTGAGACAAGAAGTGTAGTCTAGGGAAAGAGGCTATGTACTGTATTTCCCCTTTCCTTGATGGAAGCTCCGTCCGGCCCTCAAAGAACAACTAATCATGTATTTAGGTACTTACCGGTCCATTATAAATACACAACAATGTTCTGCTTTCCTACAGTAAAAGAATTGATCCAAAGCAATCTGAACCGAATGTAAATCTCCAGTTAAAAGAAAGCTAGAACTTAGATGCTCTGTTCACCCAACTCCTTTGGAATCGGTTGTGGGTTAATTCACATGGGCCAACCCTACATACTGTGGAGTCAGAAGACAGGTCAACAGTTGCCAGCCCAGATATACATAAAGTGAAACAGCAGAGCATACTGACTTTATCGTTGGCTGTCAAGGGGGTCCCAAAGATGGACTACTTCTGGGTCATAATGATTTCCATTTTCCAGTTTCAGTATGGCAGATGCTTTTCTAGTGTCTCATCTCATAGGGCTGGGGTACACACTCTTTAAAAAAAGGCAGACTTTTGCACATATCCAAGGGAATGGCATGATAGAGGCATTAATGTGCATTTACCTCAAAGCAAAGTACAGAACCTCCTCCTCAGGAAAAAAAACCCAGAACGAAACCTGATTTACGAAATCTCACAGTGGCAATGAAATGCCCTCGGTGGGTGGCATTAGCCAGCAGCACATGACACATGAAAGGATTAGAATATTTACATGTGCATTGCACACCTAATTTAGAAGGCAGATTTCCCTCATAGAATTGTAGAGAGTCTGAATGTAATGATAGTACTAGGACAGAAATCCAGAGGAGATTGTTGAGAATGTAACCCTGACGCAATTATTACTATTTTTTTTAAAAAAAGAAGACATTAAAAAACCCCAGATTTATTTGAACCTGGCTCTTGTGGGCTGAACCGCTGCCTAGTGTTAAGAAGGCAAATTTTAATCATGCACATCAAATTCCTCATGGAATTAACACGTTGACTAGAATTTTTGATGTCCCTAGTCTGGGACACATTCATATTTGAAGCCTTCTGTGTATTATATTAGCATCTAGTTTTCCTCTTGCCTTCGCAGCAGGTTGAAAAGACTTCTCCCACCCTCCCTCCCTGGCCCTTCAGTTCCTGTTCTTCCACAGACTTCTGTGCCAGCTTTTATTTTCACCTGGTTGACATGGATCTGCAACAAACTCTTCATAAATAACATCTATCACAGGGAATGAACAACCCTGTGGGCAAGGTATATTCCATAAAGAAGACAACCCAATCAGTGTTCAGCAGCCTGTGAAAGTGCCAATGTTCCTCTGGCTTGGCAAAGTATTGCCGTACAGCTAAAATACACACGTGCTTTGAATTGGAACCTACAGGTGGGAGTCAGTGTAGCACCAGGATGCAGCAACTGCTGGGTGTGGTGTTCCAAAAGCAGTGATCCAAATACAGGAGCAAATGCACAACTGGACCAAGGGGTTGGATGGCTTTAGGCAAAGCCCAGTTGTAGGCACCCTTTGGAACCCTCTTTTCACAGTAAGCCGGAACAAAAATCTCAGTGTGTTGGTGCAGTATAAGACCAGAAGCCAGTGCAGGATGAAAAACAGACACGGCAAAGCCCACTGAAGCATACCAGGACTATATATATGGAATTGAGGCAAAAAACTGCTGCAGTCTTGAGCTATGGAAGTGAAACAACTGCTAACAGGACAAAGGCCATTCTTTGTTTCTAATTGTCTTCTGTTCTTAGGTGGCCGTAGCATAAGGCAGTGTCTCTTCAAAGTGAAGCAAGAATGTTGGAATTAGCCAACCTGTCTCTGATGGATAGTTTCACAAAAGCAACAAGGCCAACAGCAGCAGAACTCGTGAAACAAAGGCCTGGAATATGATGTCAAGGTGGCTTACGGAAGAACACAGAGGAGCTCTCAGGAGTCCTCTTAAGCTGCAAAAAGGCAAGCTGCTTTTCTTCATCCACATAAAGTCTCTCTCTGGCCTTTGACAAACTTCCTGTTAGCCTCTAGCGCTTTCCTCATCAAATCTACAGGCAGAAAATCCCCCTACCCAAAATAAAAATTAAAAAAAGGAGTGGAGAGGAGAGATCTTACTCCTACATTCATCCCTGGAACACATTCCTGAAGTATCCAATAGTATGCAACGACCCAGCAAATAAGCCACCGTGGTAAGGGAATGAAATTGATAGTACAGAAATTTCAAAGATGGACATGTGTCTGTGCATTTTTAACAGTGTAGTGACAGCCCCACCTCAGCCGCCTCCAGGAGAGAAAAGAGAACATGTGTGGGTCAATCCTGGGGAAGGATCTGTTCTTTGTAAGTAAGAACCACCCACAATGAACAAAGTCATTTTGAGTGGTGCAGATTCCAAGTAAACCAGGTCACAACATGAAGCAAGAGCAGGACCATCAAAGTTAGAACAAATAAAAGAACCCCCCTCCCCTCCCCCAAGGATTTACACAACAACAGAGCAAAAGGGAAGAGGAAAAAACACTCGCAGCTCCCCCTCTTCCTCTCCACTCCCGCACCGCCCAGATTCCAACCCTCCCTCCCCCAAAATGAAACTAGGTGGACATGACTTGGAAAGAAGAAGTTGATGGGAAAAGGCTCTGGAGTTCAGTGGACAGGCTCAGACGCAGAGAGGTGGATGGGGTTGGAGCCGCCATTCGGAGGCTGGCAGACCTCCACAGCCCCTTTCCCAGACCCGTCCCCTCCTGTCCCACCGGGGTTTAGCTGTCCTCCCCGTTCTCGCCTGGGCCTTTGATAAGCCGCTTCTGTCCTCTTTTCCCCACAGGCCCCTTGGGCTTGGCAAAGGCCTGTTTGAAGGCATGCTGCTTGGGGTGGACCTCCTCGTATAGGAACTCTGCCGTCAGCTCGGCACCATCGTCGATTTCAATCTGGCACAAAGGAAAGAGGAAAGGCACTCCTCAGTTTTGGAAATGGAAGGCTCAACCGAGGCAGACACAATCTTCCCTGCAGTGGCACAACATGTCGATGTCTTACACCTCCCCCACCCCCACCAAATAAACCACTGTAATCCTGCTCCCCCACTCTTTCAAATCAAATATTCCGGTTTCTCTCTAAGGCATGAGCTACCATATTTTTCGCTCCATAAGACGCACCTTTCCATAAGACGCACCAAATTTTTAGGGTCCTGGGAGGCTCCCTTGGACCCTTGCCACCCTCCGCCCACCCCCCACGGAGCCGGGGGGGGTAAAATCACCAGCTTCTGAGAGTGTTTTGAGGCTTGGGAAGCCTCAAAACACTCGCAGAACCTGGCGATTTTGCTAGTGCTGGCCCGTGCGTGGGTGGGAGGAGCATCGCAAGGATCTGAGCGAGCTTCCAGGACCCTTGCGACGTTCCCCCCACCTTGAAGCTGGCGATTTCACCGGTGCTGGCCCTGGGGGGGAGTGGGGGAGCCTCGCAAGGGTCCTGGAAGGCTCACCCGGACCCTTGTGACGCTCCCCCCCACGGGGCCAGCAGTGATGAAATTGCTGCATTCACACCATTAGACGCACTGACTTCCCCACCCACATTTTGGAGAGGAAAAAGTGCGTCTTATGGTGCAAAAAATACGGTAATTAACGACTGCTCTCTTGTTCTTGTTTTTCAGGCTGTTATGATGTTTGAAATTATTCTCAACTATGAGAATAATTTTGGAGGCACTAAACATTTTGGGGAATTTACCTCTTTTTTTAGGTTTTCAGAAAGACAAAAATATCTGGATATTCCCTCTAATCAGTTTTTCCTCAATCTTATCTATCATTTCTGTCAGACTGGCGAGTTCCATCGGGAGGTTTCTCTCAAAAAATCTATACCTCTTATTTCACACCATTCAGAGTTTTTAGTGAATCAGTACAACGGGGATGAGCAAAATGCGGCCTGTAGGTTACGTGTGGCTCCTACATTTTTATGAGCCCCTTAGCCACCCTCGCTCCCCCAATGCCCGGCCAGAAAGGGAGAACTGCTTGTCATGGAAACCCCCAGAAGCAGGATTTCCACATTAATATAAGGTGAACCTCACCTCCCAGCACCTAATTTGTGTCTGAAACTTTTCAAAGAAAGGGTTATGAATCCAAAAGGGGAATTCCAACCCTTTTAGATTTTTTGGGGGGAGGGGTAGTGTAGCTTGAAGTGGCTCTAGGGGCAGGTGAGTATGGGTGAGTGAAATATTGACTCACAGAATTTGCCCACCCACCCCCAAGCTAGAAGATATATTCCTTCTTTCTTGGAGGGAAATTTTAGGACCAAAAGAACAAGATGTACCTTCTTTGCAATCTCTAGGCAGAAATCTTGTTCCACAGTGTCAAGCAGTCGGCTCTTGCAGCTGGAGTACAGCATGCGCTCCTTGATGCTACATTTGTAACCAGGCATGGAGTAGATGAACACTGCAGGGAAGAGAAGGGAGGGTCACTCATTCCTTAGACCTGGGAATATCAATTCCACAAGCCCATAGACCAGCGATGGCGAACCCATGGCACACGTGCCACAGCTGGCACGCAGTGCTCTTTCTGCAGGCATGCTAGCCATAAGTTGCCGGATTGCTAGTAACCCCCGCCCCCCAGCCAAATCTCAGGAGGTGGCTGTACCCACTGTGCCGGCACTTCGACAGGCAGCCGGCCAGGATCTGGAGCAGCTGGCGGTGGATCCAGAATGGGTTCTCGAGGCACCTCTGTGCCTGGGATTCCCCCTTCTGCCGCCACTTCCAGTTCCACCACTTCTGGTTCTGCCGCCGCCCCCCCCCCGCTGGTTCCCCCCCCCCCCAATTTGGGCACTCAGGCCCAAAAAGTTTCGACACCACTGCTACAGACAGTGACTGCCGTGCATGCAACAGGGAAATTGTGGCAAATGCAGAATTGTTTGTAATTGATCTGTTCCCCACCCACCCCCAAGTAGCCCACAGTGCACTGATTCTTTTTATATCCCAGAATTTTCAGAATATGGTTTGAAAACCACAGCAAAGGCCAGAAGGGGCAAAGATGTGCTTTTTGGGTAACAGCTCCTAGAATCCACAACAAAACATTGAACAGAAAGTCAAATCCCCCCTCCATGGTAAGGCTTATGAAGATTCTGTGACATTTAAGGAACTGCATGTACAAATATGAATGAGCACCAAAGGAATTTAAAGGCATACAGTATTCTCATGATTCCCACATTCATGGATAAGAGAACCCACACAATCAGAGAGCAAGCTCTCCTCCAGGGACAGGGACCCACCCAGCATATTTATGAAGACTAGAGAGAAAATCAGGCCTTCTTTCTTTCTTTCTTTCTTTTAAGGCAACAAGGCTGTAGATTTGCTCAGAGCTTACCAACTGACTCTAGGTAATCTCCCTCATGAGAATGCTTGTAGAGAAAGAAGTGATAACGGGCCGAATCCTGAGGAATTCTTTTAGGAAGGTCAGCTATCTCAGTGGCTTTTGTGTGGACCAAGTCTATGGTCTCCTGTTCAAGGTCCAGCTTCTGTTTATACAAAAGTAAAAAAAGAGACACCTTTCAGATCAACATTTGGATTGGGATAAATGGCAGGGCAACAAAGAATGCAACCATACACAAGCAGGAATAATGCAGGAGGGAGGGAATGAAGTCACAAGCAGGAATAATGCAGGAGGGAGGGAGGAAGGGCGGGAGGGAGAGAGAGAGAGAGAGAGAAACAAACAAACAAACAAACAAACAAACAAATGTAGGTCCATACCAGCTGGATGTAATTGATTCTCTTCTGCTTTAGTAACTGAATGGCCTGCCGTGCATCTGGCTGCAGAGGAAAAGCCAGTCCCTGCAGGGTCTGATGCTTGCTTTCTACGCTGATTTCTGTCTTGACCTGGGCACAAAACAAAAATGGACAAAGATGAAACCAAGGAAATAGGAGAAGAATGAAGGAGGGAGGGAAAGAGAGAATGAGAGAGAAATTGAGATGACAGCAAACCACAAACCATGCTGCTAGGACTCAAGGCACTCATAGGTTTTTAAGCCCTTGAAGGAAAAAGCCTGTTACACAGGTTTGCTCTTGCAGAAAGTCGATAAAAGGATTTCCACCTGCCGAGGGGACAAACAACCTCCAACTCTAAAAGGTTCCCCACTCCCTTCAATATAAAGTAACCTTGAAGGTTGTCCCTGGAACTGGGAACACTGGTTATTCCTCTCCATACCTTCTCCCTCCAGGCTGTTTTTCATTTTCCAAAAGCTGGATTTACAACCAGTGGCTGATCCCTCATCACAATGCCATAGGAAGGGGGTCCTATAACTACAAGAATCCCCCCTAACTAGCAGGGCCATTTGGAGGTATACTCAAAAAGGTTGTCCTCCCTCATCACAATGCCATAGGAAGGGGGTGCTATAACTACAGGGCCATTTGGAGGTATACTCAAAAAAGTTGTCCCAGATAAATAGATACCACTTTGGTGGGAAGGTAATGGCGTTCCATGTCTAGTTGCACTGGCCATGTGACCATGGAAAATGTCTCTGGACAAACGCTGGCTCTACGGCTTGGAAACAGGGATGAGCACCGCGCTCTAGAGTTGGACACAACTGGACTAAATGTCAAGGGGAACTTTTACCTATCCTTTGGAAGGTCATTGAATTTCCCGTCTTTATTTTAGTTTGAGTAATAGAAGTCTATAATTAGGAACCCAGAAAGGTGTTGGGCTCATATTATAGAAGCAAATGGAAGAAATTCTGGATAAGACTTGCTTGATAACATCTTAGTGGAGATTATATATGAAAAATATGCCATCTTCATCAAAAAAATAAAAATATTATTGATGATGAAGATGGTAATTTATATGAGTTAAGATGGTCTGGGAAATGAATCTAAATATTAATATATCAGAAGAATATTGGGCAAAATTATGAATTATGCAGCCTTGTATCAGTTAAGTCTAAGGAAATAGTGTTAAAAACAGTTCATAGATGGCAATTGTGCGCTACAAAACTGTATACAATGGATCTGAAGCTATCAGACGTACTGGAGAAATTGTGGCCCAAAAGGATCACTGGAACATATGTGGATCTCCTGTCAGAACTTTCTTTTGAGATATTTTGATAGGACATGGGTTGTAGCACTAATGGAGAAACTGACTACCCACTTTAGATTGCTTAGAGGAGAAATTTAAAAAAAAGATAATTACATTAAAATCTGGTGCTCTTTGTTGGATTTTGATGTGGAATTGAGGAGTCAGCTGGAGTACTGGTCTGCTATTTTTTAAGCCTGATAGAATGTGTCCATTAATGGATTATAGGAACAGATTACATTATTCATAGAAATAAATGTATTTATTTTGTTTTGTTATCATTTGTAGGCCTTTTTTCTCCTGCTGAATTTATTGCTGTGTATGTGATTGTATGGACAATTGGATTATAAATCTCATATTATAATCCTTGTTACTGTTTTTGTTTTCTCCAAGGATTATAAATACAAGTTTTTAAAAAAGGTCTACATTCAATTGTCAGTCCCAAGAAGAATAGACCAACTGAATCAAATGAGCTTATATACCTACCAAGTACGTATTTACTGGTTCAACAGACGTTATGCTACCTAGAGTAAACAATAGATTCAGGCCAAAACTGGCAACCTCTGGTAGACAGCTGTACATTTTACAGCCAGACATGGTAGATTTTAATTTTTGCCTATATAGTTGAAATCCTGTGCTAGTGGAATTGTGTCAATATTTTTCATATTAAAATTTTCCAACTCCAACGATCCCTGAAGATACCTTGGGATCCCTTTTGTCCTTTGGAAGCTTCTAGGGGCTACAGATGGGAGTGCGTGTGTGTGTGTCTTTGATTTCCAAAAAATGCCTCTGCCAGTAAAATCATCCTGCCAGTGGCAATGATTTTCAGTAATGGAAGACTTCCCCCTCCTGTCCTGCAGCCCCCAGTGGCTTCCCAATGATGAAAAGAGTTCCAAGGGAACCCTGGGACCTTCAGGCAAGAAGTCTGAGATGTTTGATTTCCAAAAGATCATTATGGCAGATAACATCATCAGCCTTACAGGGCACAGGTGTACAAAAAGGATTTCTGCTACTGTAACGACAAAGCATGTCATTATTGTCTTCTGTTTATTGTGAAAATATTCTGCATATTCTCAATATAGGCATAGGTGGAAAACCAAATGGTAAATCTCTTCAAATCTTTACCAATCCTGCTCTGTACCAACATTCCTTTTGTATACTCTTTCTATGTCCTCATTTTTAAAACAAAAGAATTTATGTGCGCATTTAGGAGTACATGATATTTACAAGGAAATGAGGATGAAGGTTTCTCACTTAAAATTTTGATTAACTGCTGCAGTTAAAAGGCTGTATCTTTAACAAAAAAGCAAGAATAAAATATTTTATGAAGCCAGTCTTCCAATAATTCTTACAATCACAGTTTAATAGTGGAAACAGACTGGCATGCCCTATCCTAAAGTTAAAAATGAAACAAATAGCTATCCCCCCCCAAAAAAAATATATATATCTAATCATAGAAAAGCAGCTTCACAAAGATCATCAGAAGAAAATAATCCAATCTTAGGTTCATATTTTACAGAGGAGAAAATTCACATATAAAAATAGTCACTCGTTCATTGAGTAACTATCACCACACTACGTTAATTCTTGAAACTGGAGCAAATGGTTGGGGCTGCTTTTGCAAGTGACAAAAAGATTACTTTCCACTGTAGGAAAAAAATCTGCATTTTTATTTGTTGCTCCAGAAATAATTTCAGTTTCACATAATCCAAACCTCTGAAGCTGTCTTAACTGCTCTTAAGTGTTGCTTTCTGCAATGTTAATCATGTTCTAGTTCCACCCACATATTACTGGAACTATCATATGTAAAAGAATAAAGATTTAGTATATAAAAGAATATATATAGCTGACATGATTAGACTAATGGAAAATTTGAAGGCTGGTATTATGTAAAGAAGATTCATTGATATTATTACTGATGAGCTAGAAAATACTAACAAACAACTCCTGGGAAGAAAGCCATGAAAAGGGAGGGGAGCACATTTCAGTTGACAAAGGTCTCTCTCTAAGGAGCATCCTGATTAAACAGTTACCTAACCAGTCACCCACTAACCAATATACCCAGTTGGCACCGAAAGGAAAGTAGAGAATGGGACGGTATTAGAAATTCACATCACTTGTGAGGCAACCGATCCTTCACATTCCTCTCAGGGCAGTTCCGGGAAAGGAGGGCATTTTCGTTTAGTCAGTGTGTGTGAGAGAGATTGAATGTGTCTTTTCTTTGTTTGAGAGAATGGAAAGAAGGATGTGACCATGCTGGCAATCAAAAGAAAGGCTCCCCGAAGAGAAGAGAAAGCAAAATGCAGGGCCACACTGCCTACCTCCTCAAGCTGAGGGTATTCAACCACTGATGGGCAACAGCAGCAGCCCAGTACCATCTCTCACGGAGGATACAGGGAAGCAGAGTCCCATTGTGACAGAAGCAAAAGGGAAACAAAAAGAAGAACAGAATTACCTGAACACTTTCACATAACGTGGGCTAATAACTAGAGCTTGGGAAAAGCTACTCTTTAAACTGTTAACTCCCCAACTCCCATGGCAGGTCAGTGTAACCACTAGCCATACTGTCTGAGGGATTCTGGAAGGGTGCCCTTGAAAGCGGCAGCATTTCCAGGCTCAGCTAATAACCAACAAGGATCACTAAAGCACGGAGAGAACACGATCCGGGAGAACACGATCATTCCAAATTTTAGAGCAACGCAGAGAGGTCAAAAACAGAGAGAAATAGAATGGCTCTTTCACTGGATGAAGTATTGACACCAGTTTGCTCTTGGTTCAAATTTCTGGGACTGCAGCTGCAGTGCCACAGTTAGAGACACGCACCAGTTTCAGTGTGACACATAGCTCAGTGCACAAATGGAAAGGTTTTCAGATTTCAGTGTAAGTTTTTGTTTCATATAGTCCAGAATCTGATTTATGATTGACACTTCTGCAACTGAAATGGCATAGGTCACAGCTGCAAATTGCCATTAAATTAAAAAGGTGCTGGTTACATTTGTTTTAATTAAATTAAAAAGGTGCTGGTTACATTTCTAGGAGGATGTGATCATAAATTGGCAGTGGGATTCTGACCACTGTGTACAGAGAAGATACAACTGGTTTCAATGGGAAGCACACAGTGGCTGCATTAAAACAAAATGACAAGCTAGGTGGGGCTGGAAAAATGTATATTTAAGTGTAGGTTCATGCAAACTGCCTGAACAACTCTTGTCTGGTTCTTCCTGCAAGCTTTCCTCCATCCTTGGTATGCTCACTGCAATGCCTGATTCACATAGCCCTGTTTCTGACTTGATTTCCCTCAACAAAAGCTGAAGTCACAAACCACAATTTATTGCTGGCTTATTATGAATCTGGCTTGTTTGTGGAAAGACAAGCCAAAATCCACAGCCTTGATATCATGCTAAATTACCTATCAAACTGCTTGGCTGGGCCAAGATGGGGCAAATGGAGAACGTGCAACATCAGCATGGGAATTACAAAAAAGCCAGGTTCCAAAAAAATCCTGGCTTTCACTGCAGGAATAGACAGCCATGAAGAACCTGATCTTCAGAGTTTACAGAGGAAACCACCTTGAGGATTCCTTCTGCAATCCCTTTTTCCATTAGCCATGGATAGGTATATAAGCTGTGGCCTAGAGTAGACTGTTGGTCTAGATGGGCTGGGTAGAAGTCTAATAAATAAAGAATAACTTCTTGGGGAATGGAAAAATGCCCAGATAGAAGAAATTATGGTATAAGGACCTCAGGCTGTGTGAGTAAAGACAGAAATGCAGCATGAGTGTTACATTTCTGTTCCTCAGGTAATATAGGAA